ACTGTAGCGCTACAGTACCCCCCTCGTTTTGGACCTCAGGCAGAAGTTGCCTTCGGGCCAGCCCAGGTTTGGTGGGTCCCACACCTCCCCCGGGCTTGGGCTGTCCGCTGGAACACCTTTTTTTTTTTTCTCCCCCCCAGCCTCGGGCTGGGCTTGTCCGCTGGAAAAGCTCTAATATATCCAAACAAAGCAGCTCAAGAGATTAAGAAATATAAAGATATTCTCCATGAGTTGGTCAGGGAGTATCAGTCAAGATCTCAATAAAGTCAACAAGTGAAATCTGAATCTTTGATTCCTACTTCTTCATCTAGCCCATCTATGCCTAAACTTGATTTGGTAAAGCAATTAGATGTGTTTGTTTCTCACTCCACTACCCATGGGCATGTTAAATCTAAGTTGGATCATTATCTAGAAGAGTCTCTTTTACGCAGGAATGATGATGATGATTTTGATATATTATGTTAGTGGAAATCAAATGGTATCAAATATCCTACTTTGCATGATATTGCTAGAGATATTTTGGCCATTCCTGTATCCACAGATGCTTTAGAGTCTTGCTTTTGTACTAGTGGAAGGATTATAAGCCCTCATCGTAGCCAGCTTCATTAAAAAACAGTTGAGGTGTTGATGTGTGCTCGTGATTGGTTATGGAGTGAGATAAGAGGTATTGAATTTTTTTTTTTGTGGTTATATTTTTCATATTTAGTAAAACATTTTATTACTGTTTTCTGATTATTTATTTATTTATTTATTTTAGCTTCAAGCTCTAATGAGAGCGAAGCTAGAAGAGTCACCGTTCAAGATGAAGAAGTTGATAATAATGAGGAGGAGGCAACATTCTTATATTTAATAGCTCTCTTTATTTTTTTTAATGGATTTTTCTTATATTTGCCAGTTTCTCATTTTCTTTTAAATAATTGTAATGTCTTTATCTTATTAATTATTATTATTATTATTTTGTAGAAGTCTACCATTGAAATAGAGAACATCTCTTTTTTATTTATTTATTAAAGCTATGAATGATGAAGCATAGGAGAGTTCATTGAAATTGTGAAGTTTTATTTGATGACAGAATATTGTTAATATTTCTTTAGGATTGGTTTTCTAATTTAAGACTAGATAAATTTATTGTGCTTACTGAAAAAGTTTCTAAAGATTTGGATTAAGAAATTATTTCAAGTTTTGTGTCCTCCTTCTTTGCCTTGTTGAGTAATTATTTTAACAAAAAATATCTTGTCGTGGTTGTTTTTAAAATTTCACAATGATGTGATTGTGCTTTAGAAAATTATTTTAACAAGAAATATCTTATTAAAAACCGGGGATTGGGGCGGGTATGGGAGGCACTTCACCGACGGGGATAGGGACGGGGACAGGGATTCCCCGAAAAGCCTAAACTAGGGATTGGGGTGGGGATGGGGACAGGGATGCGGAGCGGGGGCAGGGATGGTATTGCCATACCCGGCCCCTAACTGGCCAGTTGCCATCCCTAGTCTGTTTGCTCCTACTTGATCTATATGCGACCTCTTGAACTGCCTGTGGGTGCGTTCGTCCATCCTTTAGTTGCATCTTGTCCTAATCATCAAAGTAGCACACCACAAAGTAGCACACAAATATTCTATTGATTTTCCTTATTAACACTAAGATTTGTCAATTCTAGCATATGAAAATAAGTGTCTTTCCCGTAGAAGATTGTCTTATCTAACCACTTGAAATGTCATGAAAACTGGGCTGCTGTCCTTACTGACCAGCCACCGAAAAATAAATAATTATTATCCCTACTTACACTTATCTAAAGTCTACGAAATTTTATGCACAGATACTGACACGCAGAGTTACACTCACACAAATTTTTGGGATTTTTAGAGTTGATTTGCTATATAAATTAAATCGGACAACAATAGGACAGAAACGGATTTTGAATTATAAGAACAGATTATATTTCACAATTAAGAAAATGAGTGAGGGGAAGTGCTATCCACCACCAAATAGTCATGCAAACATGTTATGTTTCAATCAGATTCCTTTTATTTCCGGATGAAGATGCTCAAGTTGGCTCAATGTTAGAACTCAACCTATTACTCTTTCTTATGTAGTATGTTAAGAGAATGACATTTTCAACTTAATTTAATCCCTAGCATGCAATCTAGAATGGCGTGTTCAAAGATTTAACAAGTAGAAATCATTAAGAACGAAAAGAGTTTGAGTCATCACAAGGCATCGTAAGTACTGTCGTTGTCTTACTTATCCTAGAAATTGATTCACATGTTAATCGCAACTAACAAGCACTACTCTAGAGCATATGTAGGTCTTCATTCAGCAAGGGTTACACATATTCATAGCATTAAAATCCTAAATATGCTTACTAAGTATGCATCCGTAGAAAACACATAAAGAATTCATCAACGAGACAAGTAGTGAAGCAATTTTCATCCTTTCATGAAAGAAATTGAAACGAAATGTCATAACACATTTGCAATCATATATGGGGCTTCAAAACAGCCCCTAACTACTAAAAATTTAGTTACACATTATTCTTAAATTAAACCAAAAGAAAGACATGAGTTTGGGAAGGTAAAACCGAAAGAAGAGAATGCCAAGATTTCCTCCTTCCTCCGACGTTCCTGCCTTGCCTCTTTGTTTCTTTCTCCAAACATCACTCTCCCCCTAAACTTCCCCCACTAATAGCTATTTATTGATGACAATAAGTGAGAGAAAATGGTAAAACAATTGTAACTCTTTGGGTGGCCTTTAAGCCAATTACTCCCACCTAATCCCCATCTTTAATTCCATTTCCTCAGATATTTGAATAGGTTTCCACTGGCTTGTTCTTGGCTGCATCCGTTTTGGCTATTAGGTTTATTGGGTTTACTGCTTTCATTGCAGTTACAAACTGCTCAGCCTGTTGTGAACCTTTCAGTGTTAAAACGGCCATTACTGCTTCTAGAAAAATGATATGAACACTCGAGAGAATAGACATCTATAGCTTTCCAAGCATATATGGCACGTTCTCTAATTCATTCTGAACTGTTCGCAACTTGCTTCCAAAATCAGCTCATCTGCACAGGCAGTTTTGACGAATTTGTGACTTAAATCCCACTTGTGCTATTTTTCTTTTCTTTGCTTGACAGATCCTACAAAACACAAAAACAAAGTAAATAGCTCAAAAATATAAGGAACTAACTAAGAAAAGACAAGTGAATTAGATGTAAAATATATATAAATATGAGCTTGTCACCAAGTTGTGGTGACAACCTTAGATGAGCCAATCTTGGAGTTGGAGGCTCATTTGAGTGGAGCATTTGAGGCAAACAACTCCAAGGCCAAATCCAGTGGGCCAACAAAGGGGTTGGATGACAGACCATCAAAGGTTGAGAAATCTAGGAAGGTTCAGTTGAAGGCCAAGCCTCTAGTCCTCAAGAATCAAGTAGCGACCAAGGTGGTATCAACATCTGAGGTCGATGAGAAAAAAGAGAATGACCATGAAATGGTTAGGAATGTTAGGGGTAAACCCCAAACGAGAGAAGACAAGCCAAAGCCAGACGAAGACCAAGTTATGGTCGATGTTCAAACACCCGAGACGGAAGAAAAGGCTAAGGCTATGGCCGATGTTAAGGCCACAGAAGCTTCAGAAAATCCAGAAGGCACTTTGGCTGACGATGAAGAACTTTATGGGGAAGATGAAGAGTACAGTGATGATGAGTATTTCGAAGAACTTACAGAAGAAGTTATGGAGCAACTAGCTAAAGAACACATGGAAGAGATGGCCAAGTTTGAAAATGAACTAAAAGTGGGCAAGGCCAAGGTGAAGTTTGGGGACATCGATGAAGTTGAGGCCATGGTCATTACACTTCCGTTATTTTTCAAAGCTCAATAAGGTCAACCAAATTCCATGGATGGGGATGTGTTTGATGAAATCGAATCCATGGTTCAGATGGAAGAACCAAAGGAAATCGAAGTGATTCGGGAAATCCTGAAGGTAGAGATGGCTCAGCCTCAAATCGTGGTGCCAAATTTAGAGAAGAAAATGTCGGAGAAAGTGTGCTACGAAATGCCCACTAAGAAGATGGCTTCCCATCTTAAACCTCTATAGGTGAGTGCTCATTTTGATGGGATTCCAGTGAGCAAAGTTCTAGTCGACACAAGAGCCACGGTGAACATCCTCCTAGCCTCAGTGATGAAGAAATTGAAGAAGAGTTTAGACGATTTAATCTCGACCTGACTTTGTGGGAGATACCAAAAGATCGAAGGGGATCATCCCACTCCAAGTTAGAGTAGGAGGAAAGGTTAGGGTGACAACCTTCTTCATAGTAGAAACAACGGCTCATTTTAATGCGTTGTTGGGCTGAGATTGGATCCACAAAAGTATGTGTGTCCCTTCCTCGCTTTATCAGACTCTACAATTTTGGCACGAGGATGGGAGTGTGGAACTAGTTCAGGCCGATTCACGGCTTTTCATGGCTTCAGCCAATGCAGTGGAGGCCAGATTCTACGAGGATGATCTTAGTCCTCTTTATTTCACTAGGTCAGATAAGAACGGCCGACCTACGGGAGTCTCGGCCCAAAAATTGATAGACTTGGGGCCACATGATGCCCAAGCAGATGGGAAGCACCCCACGATGGCTGATTTCTTCTCTCTCAATGAGTGATACAACCATTGAGGAAGAGAAGAAGGCCGCAGTGGAAGACACTTTGAGACAGCTATATGGTTTTTGGAAGAAATTGTAAGGCTTGTTAAAGCCAAATTTATTAGGCCAGCTAGGTATGTAGAATGACTTTCAAATATTGTACTTGTAAAGAAAAAGACGGGAGCAATAAGAATTTGTGTTGATTTTCGTAATCTCAATCTTGCAACTCCTAAAGATGAATACCCTATGCCTATGGTTGACCTCGTAGTTGATGGGGCAGCCAAGCATGAGATCTTATCCTTAATGGATGGGCACTCAGGCTATAATCAAATTTTCATAGCTGAGGAGGACATCCACAAGACAGCCTTTAGATGTCCCGGTTCTGTTGGAAACTTTGCGTATGTGGTGATGCAATTCGGCCTCAAGAATGCTAGGGCCACATATCAACGAGCGATGAATGCTATCTTCACGACATGATCGGTCGAAACTTGGAAGTTTACATCGATGATGTAGTTGTGAAGTTGGTCTGTCCTTGCAAGTGCACAAGATTGATGTAGTATAGCGTTTGACAAATCCAAGTATCGTTCCCACAAGGATTCCAAATTAATCTAATATTCAAATACCTAAATTAAATCTAACTGATACGCAAGTAAATTTGTAGAGATTGTTGTTGTGAAAGTTTATGAAACAAACAATGAAATTAAAAAAAGCAATTGAGAATAAAAAGGTTAAATTTTAAGGTTGAAAAACAATGATGAAGGTCTAGGGTTTCGGAATCAACCACAAGCAATCCAAGTTAGATTTCAATGCATTCAACAGATTTTTTTGATTCTTTAGATGATAATTTCCGTATCTAAGTCCTTTTCAGGCACTCAGACCATAGTTTTCCTTAAGTGTAAGATTCTTTTCTACTTCAGACAAAGATCATATATCCAATCCTACAATCTATCCTGGTTAAGGCATAAATTTAACAAGTTGAATATATTATGTTCTAGAAAACGAGAGAACCAAGCAAACCATTATTCTTCGTCAAGCAATAATGTAATTCACCACACTTAATCACAAGAAGCTAATTGAATTATATTGCGAGTTCTGCCTCAAATTCATCTTCCAATTTACTAGATGCAAAGCCCTAAGGTGATCAATCAAAGAACTTAAACAAATATCAACAATTAAAATAGTGATTAAACATTCATCTAAAAGAAACTTAGAATCAATTAAATAGCATTAAAAATCATAACTATCCATGCTCGAGCGTCATCCTCGCCCTAGAAATAATTTAGTTACTCATGTTCAAAGAAAACATAATTGAAAAACTAGAAAACATAAAATGAAACTTATGGATTGTGACGATGCTTGAGAACTTGATGATGGCAGCGACTCTTTTACTCTCCTTCAAATTCCAGCATAAGAGAACCCTATTTTCTGGTCTTCTTTAAATAAGGAACAAATCCTCTTTTGACTTGGTAACTATGCTTTCCTAGTTTGGCTTCAATTGTCTTTGATGAGTTGGCATTCAAAATCCTACTAAATATAGGATCAGACTTCAGAAAATAACTCCACATCCTTATAGACACTTTCCAAATGCAATTAACATAAATTAAACTCCAAGGATTGGACTTCAAATGGATTATTTTGCAAAATCCGCAGAACACATTCTGCCCGAACTATCTGTACTAAAACGGCCACAGCTCTCTCCACACATGTCCAAATCACAAACTGTAAAATTCTACAGAAAGCTAACATCCGTATCTTTCCAATGATATAAGGCTCAACATCCGGTTCGCTATGTGGAAGTACAGTATATTCTGTCAAGTTGACTGTTCTGCACAGCATATTCTGCTCCTAGGATTTCACATTATATTTCAATCCCAAAATTGCTCCTTTTGCTTGCTTTTCCATCTTTACTGTTCAAACCTAGTAAAACACAAAAATAAGTGAAAATGGACTAAAATCACTCAAGAACATAGCAAGAATCTAAGAGAAAGATAATAAAAATGTACAAAATAATGGTTATATCAGAAGTCGGAGTCAAGGCCAGGTCACTTAATTGATCTTCGGTCGACTTTCGAGAGAATACGAAAACATCAATTGAAGATGAATCCAAAGAAGTGTGCCTTCGGGGTTTCAGCTGGAAACTTCCTAGGATTCTTGGTGCACCAAAGGGGGATCGAATAGACAAGAACAAAGCTAAGGCCATCATTGATGCACCACCCTCGAAAAATAAGAAAGGGTTGCAAAGCTTACTAGGCCAAATAAATTTCCTTAGGAGGTTTATAGCCAATTCAGCTGGGAGGGTTGAACCTTTCTCATCTTTGCTAAAACTCAAAGATGAAGAGAAATTTAGATGGGATAAAGTCCACCAAAAGGCTTTCGATTCTACTAAGGAATATCTGACAAAACCACCTGTGCTCATCCCAACAAAACTTGGACGACCTTTGAAGCTTTATATCTCGGCCTCAGAAAATTCCATCGGAAGCCTTTTGGCTCAAGACAACGATGATAAGAAGGAGCAAGCGGTGTATTACCTTAGCCAGATTCTAATGGCCATTGAAAGGAAATATTCACTGATTGAAAAACTTTGCTTGGCTTTATATTTCACCACGACCAAATTAAGGCACTACATGTTGCCTTCCACGGTTCATACAATTGCCAAGACTGATCTAACAAAATACATGCTTACTCAGCCAATCATTAGAGGTCGAATATGAAAATGGACGATGGCCTTGGTTAAGTTTACCTTTCGTTACGTGCCACAATTGGCCGTCAAGGGGCAAGCTTTGGCTGATTTGATGGCCACTCACCCTTGCATCGAAATAGAAGACATAGACTATTTTTCGATCAACACGTTGAGTCTATTTCCGTGGCGTCTCTATTTCAACGGATCATGAACTTCAAACATGGGTGGAGCTGGCATCATCATAGAATCACCCTAAGGTTTCCAAACTCACTATTCATTCCAGTTGGACTTTGATTGTTCCAACAATCAGGCCAAGTATGAGGCTTTGATCATCGGGTTGGAGATCGTGAGAGAACTCGGAATAAACAATGTCGTGATTCTTGGGGATTCAATGTTGGTTTTGAAACAACTATCTGGGGATTACAAGGTGACCAGCCAAGCCTTTCTCGACTACCATGCTTTGGCCAGCCAAATGATCGAGGATTTGGATGAAGTGATACTTACTCACCTACCAAGGGAACATAATTCTCAGGCCAACGTCATGGCCCAACTAGCCTCAGGAGTTCATATCTTCGAAGGGCTATCTGAAGAACTTTTCAAGGTAGAGAAACGATCTCTTTCTTTCGTTTTTGAAAGAGGGATTTCACCGGAAGTCATGGTGCTAACTGTAATGCCGGATGATTGGAGGCATGAAATCGTATCATATTTGAAAGCCCCAAATAGGCCACGTAGCCAACAAGTTCGGTGGAGGGCTCGATATTACGTGATAAGGGATGAGATACTCTTCCGCATAGGCTCTAACGACTTACTCATGAAGTGTTTGGCCAAGAAAGAACAACTTCTAGCCATGACTAAAGTCCATGAAGGCATATGCGGAGCTCATCAAGCCGTCATCAAGATGAGATGGCTTTTGAGGAGACATGGCTATTATTGGCCAACTACTCTCAAAAAATTTATCGAATATGCCAAGGGGTGCCAAGATTGTCAAAGGCATGGTCTGGTTCAACATGTTCCGGCTGAACCTATGAATCCCATTGTAAAGGCGTGACCTTTCAAAGGTTGGGCAATGGATGTGATCGGTCAAAGTCACCCAGAGTCGTCCAAAGGCCACAAGTACATCTTGGTGGCCACTGACTTCTTCACGAAGTGAGTGGAGGCCGTCCCGCTAAAGAAAGTAACTCAAGGCAAGGTGTTAGAATTCATTGAGAAGACTATCATCCACCGATTTGGCCTACCCGAATCCATCATAACTGATCGAGGAGCAACTTTTATGGGGGAGGCTGTCCAAGCAGCCGCAAGAAATTAGGGAGTTAGAATGGTTCAATCCACTCCATACAATCCTCAATCGAATGGCCAAGCTAAGGCCAGCAATAAAGTTATAAAGGGAATTTTGGGAAAAATGATTGAGAATAATCCCAAAGAATGGCATTCCCTCCTTTCTAATACTCTATGGGCATATAGGACCTCACGAAGGTCTAGTACCGGAATGACACCATTCGCACTCACATATGGTCATGATGTCGTTCTTCCCCTCGAGATATCCGTGAGATCAATGAGGGTGGCCCGTCATGGCAAGTGGAGTAAGGATGAGTACAAACAAGCCATGGCGCAAGAGTTAGATGATCTTGACGAAGTGAGGTTGGATGCCTTGGACAAGCTCAAGGCATAAAAGGAAACAGTGGCCCGAGCATATGCCGAAAGAACTAAGGCCAAAAGTTTCGGAGTTGGGGATTTGGTGTGGAAGACCATCCTTCCGATCGGATCTAAGGATCCTAAGTTTGGCAAGTGGTCTCCGACTTGGGAAGACCAATTCCTCATCCACCAAATTTTACGGAAAGGAACCTATAAGCTGAGTGACCGAAATGGGTAAGTCCATGATGCACCAATTAATGACCGATTTCTGAAGAAATATTACCTTACGGCTTGAGAGATGGTGGAGAAGTAATCTACCAGAAGATTTGAGTTTGGTAGGGTTAGGTTTTTACATGAATAAGATGTTTGAAGTAAAGTAAAAAAAAAAAAAGAATAACCAGAGCAACATCGTATATATAGATATGTCAGATAAGTTCTCTACAAAATAGGCCAAGTAATGGCCAAAATATCCAACGAACTAAACAAAAGCTAGCTCTATCATATATGACGACAACAAAAGGTAAGTCTAGCTGGATACCAAAAACAAAAAAAGGCCAACTAATGGCCTAATACATATCTAAACATCAGGAAACAGGCTACGAAGAGCAGTCCTGAAGCTCTCACATACGCTCTCTCCAGCAGATACGGCAAATGTGATGGGTAGCTTCCTCGCCTCAAATGACTTCACTACAACTGAGTCCTGGTGAAGCTGAGCCCTAATAGGCCCATAACTTCGAATATCCCTGGAGACCTCGACGAGAATGGCAGCCTTCCTTTCCTAAAGTTGCCTGATCTACTCATCAATACTCTCAACCTCATGCCGCTTCTTACGGCCAGGCTCGACCTTTTGCCTAATAATGACACTCGTCAAAGCAATCTGCCGCTCTAAGGCTTCACCTACCTTTAGCTCCTCTCGAAGGGAAGGATGCTAGGGAATCAATCTTGCCACCTCTCTGAAGAGATGCATGATCGTACGTATCGTAGTCTGGTCAGGAAAATAGCTGGAGTTCACCAATGCCTCAATAACGGCTTTGACCTTGTCTCTCTCATTCTGGTTGGCCAAGGATATGCAATCTCGATCTTTGTAGGACTGAAGTAGGACCTCAGCTGCAGGATCTAGAAGCACCCCAGCCACAGTGGAAGAAATGGCATGACGAGTGGAAGC